CACCTCTCTCCCTCTACTTTGTGTTAATGAAAATATTCTAGATATAAAGAGATTGGGTTTTAGGATCTTGATTGTAAATAACCTTTGGGACTGGTATGGTATGGAGGTACAGATACTACAGTACAACATGACATTTGGATTTTCACTGGAAGAAACTTGTCTTCATTTTTGGGGAAGTGTAAGGATCGCAGTGCAGAAATAATAGAGAAGAAACTGAGGTTTTCTACAAATCCCAAATCCTCATGAAAATACTCGTACTTATTAAATGCTTGTTTTAGTAGTGCCCAGACATGACCTGGCAGCAGGGCATAGTGTCTGGAAACGTTTTGGGCTGGTAATTATATGAATATAAAGGCGATACAGGAATGCTACGCATAGCAGCCAGTCAGGTCTTCATTTTTCAACCTACAACTGAAATGTGATCTATTGCTATATGTATCAGCTTCACTTTGCTTCCGTTATTATAACCCTAATTATGTCTAATGTTTGGACGTCATGCCCTCCTAATATTATTCCACAATATATTGATGTAAGATTTCCTGCATGATAAGGATCTTGAAAAGACATCCCTTTTACATGTTTTATAACTTGTAAACTGGAGGTCTGGATCCCAGAATGACAGTTACACAATACATTCTGTGGGCTCCAAAACAGTAACAAAATAGGTATTTCATGTCCCAGAACAATGCTAGACCAACGTTTAGGGAGTCATTATCATACCATATACATACACCTAATCCTTTCTATTGCTTATTGTTTTTATATTTTTTAAGACATTTGTTTTTAGTATTCTTTGTTTATGTTATTCAAATTACTCTACAGTGTAAAGAAGGTATATAATGGCTGTTGTAAAGCATGGCCATCAGGAATAGACTTACAAGTAATTCCCATTTTGTTGTTACAGCCACAAGGTCGTCGTGTGGACGAGGACTCCATAGAGGCCGCATAAGAAGACAAATCCTGTGTTTTCTTCTGGCTCTGTTCATCTCTGTTCTGCTTGTGGCCGATAATGTTTTCCTAAAGCTGAAAACTTTTTTTTTTTTTATCGGAATTTTGAGAAGTGCTTTTTTTTTATAGGATGCATTTGATAATTTTGTTTAACAGTATCAGGATTTGGCCAAAGCACCTTCAGAACAAATGTGACAGTCCGTCTATGGTTCCGTAGAGTTCTGCACAATACTGCTTGGCTATCGGAGTCTTGTTAATTATTTTTCCAGTCATCAACAGAGAGAGAGCTAGGCTTAGGTCATGTACTCTATGTACATCTCAGTCCTATCTTGGCATTCATATAGACATGCAGCAACCTAACAGTATGTATTTCATTTTGTGGTGCCTGCCAAGCAGCCAGTCTTTCTATGTAACCTCGGCTCTTGAGTTTATTGGCTGTTTATGGCTGTACTTTGGCTAAAATACATATCTTGTCATTCTTTGCAAGACTAAACATCACCTTGTGTACATGTTCCTATTTGCAAACGATATCACTCGAAGTAATGTAAATTTAGAGATAACACAATTCCTGTGTTGTGTGGCTAAGCAGAAGATAAACTGCATGTAGCAGGAGGCTAAAAAAAAACTAAAAGTGATGTGATTGTATAGAACATACAGAAAATGCTGCTCTTTAGACTGAAATGGAACAGTTGGTCAAGTGGTTGCAGGTGAAACAAACCTAAAAAGGTTTCTGGGAGAATGAAAACTCTCCTCAGTCGCAGTTAGTATATTACGGCGATATCATATGGAAATGAGGACAGTAAAATTCAGTAACAAAAGCCACGCATATAACTGTTTGGTAACTGTATGTGTTAGTTTTCACCTGTCTGAGCATCCCAAATAATGCTGATGAAACATATTATGACCTGTTATGATATAAATTAAATTATACAGAGTTTATTCAAAATAAAGTTTGTTTTACTTTTTTTTTTAGATTTTCTATATCCATGTGAACACATTGTACCACATATGGATAATGCCTGCAACAAGTGCACATGCAGCAGAATGTTAAACAAATTAAATCAAATTAAATTAGAAAACAAAACTTGTTAAAGTTTTGGGCAGGGTTGGGTTAATGAGTTTTCCCTGCTGAATGGGAGCCTAGTGTGAAGATGCGTGGTGATTCCCATCTAAATAGAATTGCAAGCAGCAGGATTCAGTAGTTTGATGTCATTGCCTTACCCTGACACCTAGTAAAAGTGATATAACATGTTAGCCTTGTATATTAGCAGTGGAGTATTTGTCGGATAATTGAATACAAGCTTTTACAAATTCTCAGATCTTAGTCGGGCATGGTGTCCTACCAAATAAATGAACAATTACATACATGTATATAGACAAATACGATGGAACTCAAAGGACAAAAGTAATTCAACTACAAACAAGGAGATCTAGATTAAGAGATGCAGATCCATGAAAAATGGGAGCTATTTACAAAAATGTCTAGGAATTAAAGCCAAGATGTGACATTAGCACCTTTTTGATCACAACATTTTGCCCTTTTATCTGTTTTCTGTTAAAGGAGAACTATGGGGTCAGTGTTTTTCCCCATAGTTCTCCTTAGGGTAACGGGAGGACACAAACTAGCGTCCTCCCGTTACCCTAAGCTCAGTATACCTCGAGCTACAGCTCGCAGTATACTGAGACGCCGCAGCCGGAGCAGATCCCGACCTGGACGTCGGGATCCGCTCAGCTGCGTGAGTGACAGCTGGCTCTGCCTATCTAGAGGCAGAGCCAGCTGTACCCTCCCCCATCCGTTCTGCCAGTCAGCGCTGGGGGAGAGGGGAATCCAGCCCCTCCCCCTGTCACGGCAGAGAGCCGTGACAGGATCGAGAGGTGAGCGAACCCGGTATGTGTTCGCTCACCTCCCGATCTACCGAGCCGACCTGTGACAGTCTCATTGTCACAGGTCGGCTAGAACTATGAGGTGAGTGGAAATCACTCATCTCATAGTTCTCCTTTAAGAAAACGGAAAATTGTATATTTATCGTTAATTTTCCTTTCCTGACGCCAATACATGGCAGCATACAATGGGGCGGAGCCATACCCATTGTATGCTGCCATGTATTGGTGTCAGGAAATTGTAAGTAATTAAGTCGATTTGGTAAGCTACACCAATAAGACCACTTTTTAGTTCAGGTCATAGTGGCACGTAAAACTCGGTCTATTTAGGCCACTCTGTAATGTGTCCCATTTCTGCATGAATTCATATTTTCCTATTCTTTACTCCCCCACCCCCCGCATATTTAAGTCCCTGCTATCAGAACACTGACCATCAGATCCTCAATACTGTAGTCGGTTCTAGAAAATGTTTTGTCACCTAAAGGTTAGTTCTACTGTTCTTATAGTAGTAAAGTTCAACCACTGGGAATATATCTTGTAGTCTGTACTCAGAGGTTGGTTGGAGTTTTTTATTTTGCATAGGATCTTTAGTTGGCATCTTCAGGAGGTTGTGATTTCAGTCTCTTTTTCATTACAGGGAAGCAGAGGCAGCACAGGTCTGCATGGCAAGGAGGGTTGCAGAATGTAGAGGGGTTGTGGCTTCAGTGCTGGCATTGCCTCCCCTCTAGGAATGCCGATCATTCGGGCTCCTGGGGTGGAGCTACAGCCATTACTGACCGAAATTATCATTTTATTTCTAAACCACTGCACAGATTTTGTATGGGCTAATGTGCTATGTGTACTGAGCCCTAAGGGGGATTTAACAAGTCTTTTTTTTAACTTCTAGTGAGAGTTGTTCTAAACCATAATGCAAAAATCTGCAAGAAAATTGTGTTATAGCTATAAAAGACGGGGAAAAAAGAATGAAATGTGGGCTGTTCAAAACATTCAAAGGCATCCATTTTACTAATGGTAGTTACATATAGTAAAAAACTTCTATGCTCTACCTCTAAAAACGACTAAAAAGATCTAAATAAGCGGCTAACAGAAAGGGACAACTGTTGGAAATGCAACAGCATATGATTGTGTTACTTGTGTAATGTCTTTTGAGCTGTAGATGGTGCTGTAGTGCAATGTTAGTCTCTATGCTCGCTTACCTATGATACACAGGAAGTTCTTTTACACACTCCACGATCACTGGTCGCTGAGTGTTGTACTCGCTCTCCATCCTGACTTGCTGCCCCAGGAGGCTGAGGGAGCACCTCCGGCCCAGCCTCCTGTGACAGCTGTCTCCGCCCACACACTGCCACTCTTCTGATCTGTCACAGGAGGCTAAGCGGGGTGGTGCTGGAGGAGAGCTCAGCCTCCTATGACAGCTGTCTCCACCCACACACTGCTGCTCTCCGTCCGCTCAGCCACCTGTGACAGTTTTTCTACTCCCTGCTGGGACACAGAGCAGCGCCCAGCAGGGAGTAGAGAAACCAGGGATGCACCGCTGTTTCGGCCAAAAGATGTCATTTTAGGCATTTTGCCAAAAGTGCCATTTTCAGCCGGTATGTTTCGGCGGCCAAAATTCTGGTGCATCCCTAGTGAATTTTTTTTTAAATTAGAGAGAGAGATATATCTATCTGTCTATCAATCTATCTAACTAACAACGCCCTTAAATACTGCACTGCGTTGGCTATAGGTATTGTAATTGTAGTGACATTCTTGGGAGAAACTGCAACATAAAATAATACAATATGTTGATCATAGGTTGGAATGTGGAGGACACTGAACTTAAAATGGACTGTATATTTTACTTACTGCAAATCTTTGTGTAAAAGAAAAGAATCATATTCATTTTATATATAGCTTGTGAAAGATGGACCGAAGTTCAATTTTTCTATTTACACCGATAACATTAAAAAAGACAGTCTATAATACATTTGTTTAGCAAGAGGTGGCCGCATCTGAATGTACAGTCATGGCTAAAAATATTGGCCCCCCTGCATCTCTGTCAGATAATGCACCACTTCGCGTAGAGAATTGTTGCAGTTGCAAATGTTACGGCATTCTCATGTTTATTTCTTTTGTTTGTATTGGTATGACACAAAAAGTGGAGGAAAAAAAAGCCAAACCTGGCGCATTCCATGCAAAACTCCAACAATGGACTGGACAAAATTATTGGCACCCTCAATTAATATTTGGTAGCACAGCCCTTGGAAAAAATACCTGAAAACAATGGCTTCCTGTAACTATCAACGAGTTTCTTACACCTCTCTACAGGAATGTTGGACCATTCTTCTTTCACCAACTGCTCCAGGTCTCTCAGATTGGACGGGTTCCTTTTCCCAACTGCTGTTTTGAGATCTCTCCACAGGTGCTCTATGGGACTCAGATCTGGACTCATTGCTGGCCAGTCCAGTATTCTCCAGCGCTTTGTCTGAAACCATTTCTGGGTGTTTTCTGACGTGTGCTTTGCATCATTGTCCTGCTGTAAGACCCATGATCTCTGATGGAGACCCAACTTTCTGACACTGGGCCCCATATTGCACCCCAGAATTTTTTGTTTGGTAGTCTTCGGAGTTCATAATGTCATGCACACAGTCAAGACATCCAGTGCCTGAAGCAGCAAAGCAACCCCAAAACATCTGTGAACCTCCACCATGTCTGACTGTAGGGACTGTATTTTTTTTTCTTTAAAGGCCTCATTTCTTTTTCTGAAAACAGTAGAATGATGGGCTTTACCAAAAAGCTGTCATTTTGTATCGTCTGTCCACAGCACATTCTCCCAAAAGGATTGGGAGAATCTCAGAGGAGCCCCATAAAACTGCTGGAGTGCAGGTAAGAAAAGACAGCCAGGAGAGAGAGAGAGAAAAGACAGCAGAGAGCTAGGAGCGAGAGAGAGAGAAGAGACAGCCAAGAGTAAGGGCCGGTTCACACCACAAAGTTTGCAATCCAGTGCGTTCGCCCTCCCTGGCAAGCCGGCCGGCTCCCTGCGTTCAGGCGCAGGAGGGGGCGTGGCGGTGGATTTGAGTCAATGGCACCGCAGCCGCACCTCTTGCCCGCCGTGCGATCACCCGTACCTGGGATGCAGGCACAAAAATTTAAAAAAAATTGATCTCCAGATGAAAAATTGTGGGCACCCTTGATCCTAGGGTCTTCATCCACCATTTGAACAATCCTTCGTTGCAATCTTTGATCAATTTGTTCTTTTCGTCCAGGTTAGCTACAGTGCCATGGGCTGTAAACTTCTTGACAATGTTGCGCACGGTGGACACAGGAACATTAAGAGCTCTGGAGATAGACTTGTAACCTTGAGAATGTCCATGCTTTTCCACAAAAACTTAGAATACAATTATTTCTTGCAATTTGGAGAAGGTGCCAATTATGTCCAGTCCATTTTTGGAGTTTTGCATGGAATGTATCAGATTTGGCTTTTTTTTTTTCTTTTCCCGTTTTTTTGTGTCATACCAATACAAACAAAAGAAATAAACATGAGAATGCCTAACCATTT